GAACACTGAAGAATACAACGCTTCCGGGGTCGGGGTTGGTAAAAGTGTGGTACAAATCAGTGCAGTCGAACCAGTTTTGAAGCACCTTCATGAAGAATTAGGCCATACAGAACAGAACAAATCAGAAGTGCTGGCACGTCGCCGATTTTGGTGGACTCACATGCGGCGTGATATTGCTCTGTCCCGTTAATCGTGGGCAGAGTGTGGTCAAGTAAAGGACCGCGGACCAAGTGCCTTGGCACCATTGCAAATGATAAAAGCCGGGCTCCCAAACGAATTGATTAGTGTGGATATTATTGGGCAATTGCCTATAACGGATCGAGGTAACATATATATATTGGTGATGGTTGATCATTTCCCCGAGTGGTGCGAGGCCATCCCACTTCCAAAACTGGATGCCTGGACAGTGGCCAAAACGCTGTTCACCGAATGGATCGCACGCTGGGGTGTACCCTACCAAATACTCACTGAAAGCATCTTGTTCAAAGAGCTGTGCCATATATTGAATATCAAGAAGACTCGCACTACAGCGTATCATCCTGAGGGCAATGGCATGGTACAGCGCACAAATCGAAATTTGAAAGGTTTGTTGAAAGCTATTATCAACCACGAGATGTTTGAGCACGAGAATGGTGCACTACCACGCTATCTACTGACTTACCGTGCTACTATCCAGGCGTCTATCGGACAAACTCTATCCTTTATGACGACAGGCCTGAAGATGCGAACACCCTCCTATACACTTTTACCTACCCCGGCCCCGGAAGCGTTGTATTCTTCAGTGTTCGCGCGATGCATACAGGCCGGCCTCTTTCGCAGTCGTGAACTGGCTCAACAACACTTGTGTGTCACCCAGAGATATCAGAAAGAGTACTACGATAGGGCTGAGCAGGATAGGTTGTTCAACCCCTCGACAGGGTTTGGTTGTCCCACCTGTCCCACCTGGTGCTATACTGACTAAGTTCTATAGGGCATGGAAGGGACCGTATACGATAGAGCAAGCCCTCATCGACGTAACCTACCGTCTTGTTCACCCTGGAAAACCCAGGTAGTCAACCGTAGTGCATGTCAACCGTCTCAAGTCAGCAAACATGATATCTGACAGCTCTGTGGACAGCGCCTTGCTGAGAAGGGGGCCTGTGTAATGTGCCGACAGATGTCAAGCTGTGCGCCAATTACAATGTCTTTTATCTACTTTCAGAAGTGGCGGCGGTAACTATGTTAGAACATGAAGACATTCCTGAATATCGTCCAGAGGAGATCGATAGCCCTTCTCAATGACTAACACCTTTTGTATGATTATATGCTTGTAACCCCGCATTCCGCTGTTGTCAACTATCGACGCCACGTGTTCTGCGGTTCGGAGAATAAACTGCTACACCGACGTTCATATGCTTCTCTGTGAACAGTTGGCGAGAACTACCAACTTACCGATACATCCAACTAACACGTCGCATTCTCCTTTTTCAGTCCCACCTGACTGCTATTCTTAGGACGTCCACACAGTGAGTTTGGATACTTTTATACACGCAGACATATTACATAATTGGCGACCACGCCAGGGGACCTCCAGGTTGCCACACACTAGTGGACCTAGGACAAAAATCCTGGCTCTGCATATATGCGTACAGGCCTCAGAGCTAGCACGTTGCTCTTTCACACCCGGTAGACGCAGCCCCATACACAACAGCCTCTGCGCATGCTCACCAGCCTCACGCACCACACCTAGCACCGACCTGTTCACGTAGGCCATGGTACACCGGGAACGGTGTTCTTCAAAAAGGAGACCAGTGCAGAACGGTGTTCTTCAAAAAGGAGGCCAGTGCTATACACGGTGTCTGTCAGTTTGATTGGTTTGTATGTAAGTATTGGTGATGTACAACCTTGCTTACTGGGCTTCGGCTCATGAGCTTTGTCTCTCTTTTCCATCCGCAGAAATTGTCGTGAACACCTGCATTCGGAGAATTGCTGTTCCCTGGTACTTCCATAGCGTGCGTGCTACAGTAGGTGATGAACCACGCTTTGGCCGAACGGGACGAAAGGGAGTTTCTAACACGTGGATATATATTAATTCGAACCTAGATCAACTCACTTTCTCTTAGGAGTGTGAAAAGCTCCTTGCCTGGTTTATGGGGGGGCTTGGGTTGGGTTGAACTGTCAGTATTGAGCAGAACAGAACCTTGTCTTGGGAAGAATAAGTGGGTTTATGGACAAAACGAGAAGGCAGTGCAATGGGATGGCTAGCACTTTAAAGTTTCCGTGTCGTGTGCGTGCGTATTATAAGGTGGGCTTGGAGAGAGCAGAGATATGGGTATGATAATCGCGATGCAGTCACCGCTATGCTGTACTTAGGTTCGTGGCTAGCCCCGTACATGAACGTGTTTGGCGAATCAGTTGGGGTTTCCAGGGTATTTAGGATTGGTCAAATAATCGCGACGGGGTGAGACAAGAATGGAAGGATAGTACTCCTTGGTCCATCGAGGATATACAATGGGTCGTCGTAGCCATCCGATCGATGCGCACTTCACCCCTGCAAAGTGTCATTGCGAAATTGGGCGGGACCAAACCCGCGTGATTGAAGGTGAACCGACTGCTTAGGGATAAATTCGTCCACCTTGGCAATTGCATTAATACCGCTGAACTGGTAAAAGGCGAAATTCTTACTCAAGTCGGAAGGCTCGAGCAGCATTCACGTACCGATATTTGTGGCGCCCACGGCTTGACTGTCAAGGGTAGCTGTACACTGCCGCGACCCGCTGTCTTATTTTATGAGTGGGAGGCATGATCGCTGCTTGTGGAAGACCTACGAAGACTCTGTTTAACTGCCAGTGCGCAGGTTTGGTGGGAACATCACCTCAGTGTTTCTGAAGTACTGTAGGTGGTTCTTCGAAAAGCTTCCTCTCATGCGACAATGCAGTCGGTCACACTCCACAGGTTACGGTGGTTAGGCCACGTACTTCATATGGCAGGGCCGCTTACTTTCCAGAGACCGGCCTTGTGTCGAATGGAGACGACCCATGGGCGTTGGGCTGATGACTTGGCAACGAAGCATGAAAGTCCTCATCAGTCAACGGAGTCGCGCTAACAAATGTTGTCTTCCCGGATTGGGACCGCAGGACAAGATAAAACCAGCGGTTACTGACTCTGGCGGATGTGGTTGTCGCTCAGCCTTGTGGGTCTTGCGTCAAAACTATCGCCTCCACTGCATAGCACCCAATCCCTGCAACACCGGACAGACGAAGCCACGCGAGTGCGTGCTCGCGCTTCCTTATTTCCCACAGTGAACGAAGCTGTAGCAGGTTGAACAACTGCACTTCGGTGTACGGTTTGTGGGCCGAAAGATTGACTGACTGATTCAATGATTGACTTGTAGATCATCAGGCGAAAGCGAGTGCAGAATGATGGGGCAGTTAACTCAATGACTATGCTTAGACCTTGAAATTTTTTCCCGGCCCTCAGCGTTTATCAGAGCCAAGGGTACTTAATGGGATGACAGGTACGGTTTGTTGTCCTGCTTGCATCAAAGTGCGGGCATTAGGAGTGGTCGGACAGACCGGGCTTCAAGTTATGAAATTTTATTTCATGAGTTTGACCGTACCGGCTGACCCGAAAATTTTAAGATCAAGACCGATGCAACGTGACAGAGTTCTCAGTCCCAATGTAGGAGCCTACAAGTTGTCATTAATGGGATAAGGCCAAGGAAAAGAAGTAGGCGGAATAAGAGGGCGGGCGTCATCAGTAGCCTATTTTTGGTCACTGGCCTCAATGTATGCAGCGAGTCGGGCGACTTGCGTGATGTCACCACAGGCTGGTCTACGTGGCATGACAGAATTTTAAGTTTTGTGAATCATGGGAGACTGCCATGGCTCCCACACCTAGACACGAGGACAGTTGGGGTCCTCAACAAAACCTTTGGCTCAAGTGCCTAATCGCAAGATGGCGGGTTTTACTGGAAATGCCAATGCGTTGCATTTTTTTAAAGAAAAAAGGTATGTTCCGATCTCCAGCCTGGAGATCCAGAAGACTGTTGCTCAGTCCCCTAACTATCGGTGAACGACGTGAACCTATCGCGAACCTGACGCGTCTATCGCACGGATCCCTTCAGTATGGCATGGTGAGTCACGGAGGCACGCACCTCTCCACACCATGTTAAGGTCTTATCTCATCGTGACGATCAGTTATCAGAGCAACGCCTTATATAAAAGGACCCCTAATGTGTCCCTTAACTTCAGGAGTGCGTTCGATTATGTCAATCGATCAGTGCTCCTAACTACATTTGCTCAAGCCTTAGGCTTCTGTGTACCTAACCCGGTCATTATATTCACATTTCCAGGTGTATAGGGGGCGAGATGGCTCAAGTGGGTAGAGCGTGAATTTACTAACCGGAAGGTCCGTGGTTCGAGCCCGACCTCCGCCTCTCGACTTCTCCTGTCTGGGCTTGGGCAACCTGGCAGTACCTTAGTCCTCGTGCCTCTTTCGGGTTGCATGGTAGTTAGGCACCGACAGGGTGTTACAGCTGAACGACCAGGTGTATAGGAATTTGTGAGGAACACTAAGGGCTTCTCTACAAGAGTCGCTTTCCGGTAGGGATGTCTATCTTCACTCCGGTCCAGCCTCATCATCGATGAAATAATGAAGTGAACAGGTTCTTCAAAACGTCGGTGTTCAAACCGTCGTTGGTAGAATACTGGTTCTGGAGTGCGCAGACCACATTGTCCTAAAGATGAGAACAAAGCACAAGTGCTTTCATATAAACTGGCCTTCATCATGTCCGCATGCTTCTTGCCTATCCTAAGTACAAAGTCATGCTTCAGAACGTACATGCCACTTACAATTCAAGGAGATTCACTGGAGGGCATAGAGTATTTTACAAACCTCGGTAGCTGTATTAGCTCTCACCGCAGTACGTCCGACTATGTTAGTGTCCAGGTCTGGAAGACGGGCAGCATGTTTGCAAATTTGCATATATCTGCGGGTCTCTAGGATCGTTGGCCCGTGCTACAGTAAGGATTTTTGTTTTGTGGTTGCGGTGCGTGGTCCTTGTGGACAAATAACCCTGGGGCATTTGACCACCGATGTTCCAGAAGCCTTGCTGGTGGCGGATGACGTCGATGAATTCCTGACCAAGTATTTGGGAAATGTGCCAGGTACTTAAGTAGCAGAAATGATCCAGCCTCATCAACTGCAGTGAATTGAGAGCTCAAGACGACCCAGTGTCTAAGGCGCGATCGTGATGACTGGAACTACCGTGGTTCAAACCCAGCTTCGACATGTTAATAGCTTCTGTCTGGGCTTGATCAGTCTGGCAATGTCCCAGCCGTGGTGCTCCTCCCGAATTGAATGACAACTAAACACAGGAAGGGTATCACGGCTGAACGATTATTTATTGTTTATGTATTACTTCGGCCATTGGGCCATATGCTTCGCATGGTGGAACATTGTCTGTCAAGAGGTGCGTTGTTATGCTTTCTTTCTTCAGATGGTCGAAAAATAAATAGGGGTGTGGAAGACACTACATAGACTTTGAATAATTTTGAGTAGGGATGGTGCAGCCTATGTTGATATTGCTCTTTAGGACAAAATGCTTGTTGGAACTTCAGCGTGCTCCCAACTGCTCTTGATAGGTTAGGATTACCGACATGCAAGTTTCATAGTTGACCCGCAAGCCATCTGCTTTGAGTGACCCATCCATCTGACGGATGCACAAATTGTTAACTTCATGGTTACATGTTTGCTCCTTTTCCAGGCTGTTCTGCTTTATTTTTAGAAATAGTCCTTGTTGACGCGTTGTCGGACGAGATGCAATTGATAGCTTGATCTGGACATGGTATCTGTAAGTTTCGAACCATTAGTGTCGTACTTTTCTATGTCCAGCAAACGAAACGCACTCCACGGAATGTACTACACTGGACTGTTGAAGATGTGGGCAAATGGATGCGCAAGTACGCTGGTCCCGAGGGCGAAAAGTACGCTCCTTTGTTTGAGGAAAATGCCATAAACGGTATGTCCAGAGGTTTTCTGTTCGTGCTCGAACCTGCTACCAGGCATCTGTTTGCGGATGATGACTGACGAATGGGCCATCAGGATTGGGGTCACTGATCAGGCCGATCGGTAAGTCTGTTTCTTCATTCGCCTCACACTCCCTGTTCGATCTCTCCAGTGTGGCACTTATGGGTCACGTTTATCGAATGCGATTGCGCTACGACCGAGAGGATATTGGTAACCTATTCAAAAATGCTTGATTCCCGCTGTACACTACCAACACGTTCTCACTGCTTTGTAAATACAAACCCTTCGGAAAAGCAGTTTATATTCTATCTGGTTTCATACGTAGGGTTCCCGGTAACTTATCCACACTCTCTCGTTCAGCCACAACATGTCTTACGGTGCGGCAGCTCGCAAAGACCCTGTTTATCAACTTGGAAACAAGTGTCTCGCTATTCCGATGGAGCTTCATCGAAAGAATAGACAGCGCTTATGTGCGAGGCTACGTGAACAATGGTCTAAATTAGTCGCAGATAAACAAGCCCCAGTTCATGATCTGAAGGGTGTGTTCGTTCTACTTCAAGGTGGTACCGACACTTATCGCGGAGATTCCGACGCGACTACAGCATTTCGGCAGGTGAGCAGTCCTTCACGTGATGTATGTTTTTCAAACTAGAACTTTTCGGGCGATGGAGGAACAGCTTCGAAATGCGCTTTCTGTGAGCTTTCTTTCATTACAGTGTTATGTGCTTCGCAGGGTAATATGAGTTTTGTGTCTGTTAGTTTATCCAGTCTGAGTTGTTGGGAGCTGATATTCTGTCGGCCTGTGGAGTCCACATGGAAAGGTCACATTTGTCCACCTTATAAGTGATCCTTCTTTGGGCAGGTGACTTATAAAATCGCGCAGCTTGTTGCGGACCTAAGCCAAGCTAAGAGTAGCTTTGTGTATCCTTAACGTGTGAGATTCCACGTGCGAGGCTACGTGAACAATGGTCTAAATTAGTCGCAGATAAACAAGCCCCAGTTCATGATCTGAAGGGTGTGTTCGTTCTACTTCAAGGTGGTACCGACACTTATCGCGGAGATTCCGACGCGACTACAGCATTTCGGCAGGTGAGCAGTCCTTCACGTGATGTATGTTTTTCAAACTAGAACTTTTCGGGCGATGGAGGAACAGCTTCGAAATGCGCTTTCTGTGAGCTTTCTTTCATTACAGTGTTATGTGCTTCGCAGGGTAATATGAGTTTTGTGTCTGTTAGTTTATCCAGTCTGAGTTGTTGGGAGCTGATATTCTGTCGGTCTGTGGAGACCACATGGAAAGATCACATTTGTCCACCTTATAAGTGATCTTTCTTTAGGCGGGTGACTTATCGATGACATCAGTGTTCAACACTGATGCTTTTCTGTCGTACGGCAGCAAGCATCTTATGGAGAAGCACCAGATCCATCAAGCGAACTGATCAACCCTGAGTCATGAGTGGGGCTCAACTTCGGGGTGTTCCTTGTGTGTGCCGATAACAGGCTCCAAATGTACTAAAAGAATAACAAAATATGAACGTATGCTGTTCATACACATCGATGTAGGTGCGTATAGAAATCTGAACTTGAAACGGATGTGATATGGTGAAATTGCTGTGGACAAGCTTGTGTGCAGATGGTTAGCAATATTAGCTAAAACCTTCGATGCAAACCCCGCATTTTTCGCGTGATAAAAATTTATAGTATACTTACCACATTCGGCTTAAACTGTAAAGTACCACACAATGGCAGACCTCAAGCATTGCCAAGAAGTGAGGCAATGCAGTAAGGAATGTAACGATATCTGAGTCTGATTGAATAAAGCGATTTCCGATCGAAATCTTTTTCAACGTGCTTAGACTAAGGAGTTTGTGTGCCGAACGAACACTGTGGTTTGCTAAAGAGAATGACTTTCAGGTCATTTGCTCTGTAACCGGAAATCATTAACTATAGACTGATGGCAGGTCAGTGTAGATGGAAGTTCAAAACATCCTATGACTTCCAAGTTAATGGAATGAGAGACCTGTTAGTTTAGCAGTTGCTTAAGGGTTTCTTTGGCAGAGAGAGAAATCCGGATTGAATCGTGATGAATCCAAACCGGATGGAAAGGAGCCCTAGCACAAAGTTTCTCGGTTGTTTCCAGCAGTGATCGGTGGCAAATAACGGGAGGTTCATATGATATGGGAAAAAGAGAAGGGCGTCTCGAGGAAGAATATCGGAGTTAGTTGCAGGAAAGTATCACATCTGGCCATTGTCATCATTTGTGTGATTTCGATAGCATGTTCTCTTCATCTGGGTCTATGTCGGTGATGCTCATATCTACCATCGGGGCTTGGGCAGAGCCAGATCTAGCCAGGATCAATATCGGGAGGAATAACTGGGCTAGAAACGCTGATGTTTGTTTCACTAACAAACCCCAGTTTTTTTCATATGATGAAAATTCATGTTGCACTTACCACATTCGGCACAACGGCAGGACTCAGGCATTTGGCGAAAAGTGCGAGAACGCAGTGAGAAATGTAACGATGTCTGAGTCTAAGTCTAAGAGATTCCTGATCAATATCACTTTCAACGTGTTTAGACTAAGGAGTTTGGGTGCCGAACGAACACTGGTTTTGTGAAAGAGAATGACTTTCTGGTCATTTGCTCTGTAACCCACAAACTGCGGAAATCACCAACCGTAGACTGATGACGGGTCAGCATAGATATAAGTTCAAAACATTCTATGACTTCCAAGTTAATGGAATGAGTCCTGCTAGTTTAGCAGTTGTTTAAAGGCTTCTTCGGGAGAGAGGAACCCGGACCGATTCGAGATGAATCCAAACCGGATGGAAAGGAGCCTAGCACAAAGTTTCTCGGTTGTTTCCAGCAGTGATCGGTGGCAAATAACGGGAGGTTCATATGATATGGGAGAAAGAGAAGGGCGTCTCGAGGAAGAATATCGGAGTTAGTTGCAGGAAAGTATCACATCTGGCCATTGTCTCATCAGTTGTGTGATTTCGATAGCATGTTATCTTCAACTGGGTCTATCTCGGTGATGCTCATATCTACATAGACTGATGGCAGGTCAGTGTAGATGGAAGTTCAAAACATCCTATGACTTCCAAGTTAATGGAATGAGAGACCTGTTAGTTTAGCAGTTGCTTAAGGGTTTCTTTGGCAGAGAGAGAAATCCGGATTGAATCGTGATGAATCCAAACCGGATGGAAAGGAGCCCTAGCACAAAGTTTCTCGGTTGTTTCCAGCAGTGATCGGTGGCAAATAACGGGAGGTTCATATGATATGGGAAAAAGAGAAGGGCGTCTCGAGGAAGAATATCGGGGTTAGTTGCAGGAAATTGCCACATCTGGCCATTGTCATCATTTGTGTGATTTCGATAGCATGTTCTTTTCATCTGGGTCTATGTCGGTGATGCTCATATCTACCATCGGGGCTTGGGCAGAGCCAGATCTAGCCAGGATCAATATCGGGAGGAATAACTGGGCTAGAAACGCTGATGTTTGTTTCACTAATGATGTTTGTACACTAATACAGCCGTTTTTGGCTCAGTCACATGTTTACAATCACATAAATCCGGTGCCAATAGGATCGCTACTCTGTTTCTTACTCGGTCGCGATGATTTACTTATCAGGGCTACTTGCTTTCGTTATGAGGCGTAAACGCTAGCGATTTGCCCGGGTTTGGATACCAGATCACCTCAGAATTCCGCGAAACCGAAACCACCAAACCAAAATGGGTGTGCAACCGAGTGTACTTCCTGTACTTCTGTTCGCGTTTTGCTTCATTTCAGCCTCGCTTGCTTTCTGACTAATTCACTCTATGGTAGCCTTGTTGGCATGGAGACTCATTACTTAGAAAGCCTACAACGCGACTCGACTGGAATTTCGTTTAGTTGGCAGTATCCTAACCTTTTTACTCTCTTGTGTTAACATGACATCGGTGCACCGAACGAAACACCGCAGCCGAATGTTCGAAATAGGACTTGCGTGATGAAATGCATGCACTGAAACAAAAAGGAACGAGATGGACGAGTGGTTAGGGCGCGAATTTACTGACCGGAAGGTTCGTGGTTCGAAACCCAACTCTGCCTCTCGACTTCCCCTGTCTATGCTTGGACAAACTGGCAGTATCCCGACCCTCATGCTTCCTTCGGCTTGCTTGCTTTCAGCTAGGCACTGAAAGGGTGTTACAGCTGAACGATTATTATTATTATACTGAAACAAAATGGACGAAGCAGACCATGGTTGCCAGACTACGTCACAGGACGATTTGCCACAGAGCGGTGGAGCTAGTGAAACCCGTTGTTGATGGTGCTGTGTCATTAGGGGCAGTATCATATAGTAGGAAAAATGAAATGAAGCGGAATCCAGCTACAACACCCTTTCGGTGTCTAGCTACCATGCCATCCGAAGGAAGCACAAGGACGGACATGCTACCAGGTTCCCCAAGTCCAGAGCGGAGCAGTCGAAACGCAGTAACTGGGTTCGACACACGGACCTTCTGGCCAGTAAGTTCGCGCCTTAGCTACTCAGTCATCTCGGGCGTAGGAGAAAGGGGTACTGGAGCTGTCTTACTGCAAGTGCTGCCCCTTGAATTTCTCCAATATTTTTCGTTTCATTTCGAAGGAGATAGAGCTCCGGGACCGGACACAACCCATCCTACTTTACACGTCTCCCAACTGGGTACATCAATATCGTTTGCTGGCTGCGTCACGACCAGACCCATAACCAAATTTTGCTTGGCTCAAGAAACGAGCTAATTATTCCGTTAAACGCCAATATGTATACCCGAAGTGCGATTTATTTAGGTACCTGAACAGTAAATCTGCGCTTCCTATTTGAGCACCAGTGACAAAGTACAACGTTCTCACGTTTAAGGTTTCCTAGTTGCAAAGGAAGACCGTGGAACACAACCCATGTTGGTAGGAGAAATTCCCTCAAGAGCGATAGCCTGATTCTTACCATAGTTTTCTGCAGACTACTCCGTATCTTATCCGCTTATGACCCTTATATTATTTCGACCCTTCGATGCTGATTTCAAAACAGTCTGTCAAAAGAACCTGGGCACTTCGTTAGCCGTTCGACAAGTGTTTGTTGTATGGTCTCATCCTTAAATCAGAAACGAAAGAGATTATATGCTGCGCTGACATCTGTTAACATCTGTTTTACCACTCCCATTGCAAGTGATGGCTCAGTGGTTAGAGCGCGGATTTACTGACTGGAAGGTCCGTGGTTCGAACCGAACCTTTGCATTTCAACTGCTCCTGTCTAGACGTGGGCAACTTGGAAGCCCTTGTGCTTCCTTCTGGTGGCATGACAGCTAGACAGGGTGGTACAGCTGAACTAGTCGAAAACGCAAAGCATGCGGATGGTGTACATTAGAAGATAGAAACTTCATTGCGTGGACAGGTAGGGGTTGATTTTTACAGGCTAAAACCTCGATGTTCATATTGCTTAACAGTATCCAACCTGTATAATGTCGATCATCCCATATAACTGCCACCCTTCCCTACTACAGTCGCGTGACCGTTTCGGAGGGGCAGCTACACCTTAACTGCAGTAGTTTTGATACATGTCGCCACTGACTTCGTGATTGAGCCATGTCACTAACCATCGATGAGTTGAGTCCCGGGGTCTCCGTTCGGGTGTGGGGGGGCAGCTGTCAACCTGGCTGAGTCTGCTGGTTATTGAATTCATGTTTCATTGTCAAATCACAGACTGTCCACCTCTTGGTTGCCTTCACGCAACACAGGGCTGGGCAAGCACAGATCTGTGAGGCAGACGATCCTATGGCATCCGAAGTACATGTTCTAAGCCACGTGTCCACTCTCCATCACTTTCCTTTGGTAAATGGTTAATAGCTGGCAAACTCAATTGCTATGGAGGATTGTTAGGTATAATGGAAGCATAAAATCACGTTGACAGCATGACTGTTCAGCGAATTAATTTTTTTAATCTTTATTCCGAATTTAAAATACTTGCCTCCAGATAGAGAGATAATGAACAACAGAGTTCAGAAGAATTTCACGCACCGTCTGTCCTTCCAAGTACGACGACACTCAAATGGTGCCTGATACCGAGGACGTTTTCTTATCTCTGGAATGTAATGCGTCGCCATATCCTCCCAAGAAACAAACATATTCGCAGTACGGTTTTATAACACTTATCAGTACATCTAGCAACTAGCCTTTTCTGATTAAACTGACCTACCGGAGGCTTTTCTTTCATCAATCGCTTATGCATTCTTCTCCCATAGGAGTCTTTCTTCCATTGGACTTTCGGCGGTCTGGAACCAGATTGGTTTGGTGCAATAGAAGTTCAAACCGGGCGATCCATTTTGTTCACCCACCATCTTCCTGATGATGTGGCGGTCTACGATGGTATGCCGGATACACCTGAAGCAATGGCCATCAAGTATGCGGTGGAGGAAGCGTACTATTCCGAAGAGGTATTGTTGTCTTCTGTTCAAAACTCATTGACACCATATTTGTGCGGCGATGCATACATAGCAGTTTGGATCCTATAGTCATGTGCCCGGAACCAAGATGGATTGGGAACTCGTTCCAACTATAGTGTCACTCATTTTACACACAAATCAAAGGGACACAAAAGCAACGTGATCCCTAATGGAGGATGTGTCACTGTCTCGTGAAAATCAAATTGATTTGCAAATGAGTGTATTTCTCGAAAGCGGTCCAATTTGGGTTCAAGTAGAACATAAGGTTGACGGAAACTGGGGGGACTGCGCCTACCTGATGAGCCCCAAGAAGGGCAAAATCGGTCGTGAGCTGTCGAAGAGTTTTCAGCAACCTTGTGAGTAGTTTCCTTCATTGACAGCATGTTCGTACAGTGATGCATACGAAGGAATTTTGTCCCTATAGTCGTGTATCTGGAACGAAGATGGATTGGGAACTCATTCCAACTATGGTGTCACTCATTTTACACACAAATCAAAGGGACACAACAAAAACAACATGGTCGCTAGTGGAGGAGCGCAATAAATCACCCTTGTAAGAGGTGGGAATTGCAAGAATTCATGACAAACAATCAATAATAAAGTCGCTCATCTGTAACACCTGTTCAGCACCTAGTTGGCACGTCACCTGGTTGAGATACTACTTGGTTGCCCAAACCTAGACAGAAGCAGTCGAGATGCAGGGGTCGGGTTCGAATCACGTACCTTCTAGTCCTAACTGCTGAGCTTATAGAGGTTCTCGAACTACACGGGACTGAATACAGGAGCCTAGCTACATGGAGCCACGAGTAGATTCTTCTTTCATAAACATTACTTTAACCACCAAGCTATCTCGAGCTCAGTTTGTGAACATATAATGGGGTCAGGAGTTCCAGAATCGGGCTGTTCTGATGAGTTCAGTTTTTCAACCGTGATGTATTTTCGACCCCGTCCGTCCAAAAAATGAGATCAGACAGCGTAGTAGTCAGTCACTGAAGGCGATGGCTCAGTCAGCTAATTTAGGTTGTATAAAAAAACGCTCAACTATGGCACCCTTACGGTGCCTAGCTGCCATGCCACCCAAGAGAGGCACGAGGGCTGGGGTACTGCCGGGTTTCCCAACCCTAGACAGGGGAAGTCAAGATGCAGAGGTTGGGTTCGAACCACGGACCTTTCGGCCAGTAAGTTCGCCCTCTTAACCACTTGGGTCATCTCACCCCCTAGTTGTCTGATAAGCGGGAAACTGGACAGCTGCGCCTTGGAGGTGATTGCTTTGCTGCAATAGGAATAGGGGAACAGATTGATTTTGCAACGGAGGATCAAAACTTGAACAGCCGCGTTGTGCAGTCAACGTAGAAAAACGCAAGAGGTTAGTTCCTGAGAAGTCGCGTCCCAACGGCAGCGTTGGCGTGGCGGTCAGTATATTAAAATGAACAAGTGTAAGACGAGGAAGCACCTCGAACATGACAACAAATGTGAAAAAGAGTTTGAGCAGGTCTGAAGTGTTATCCCGTTAGAAACGCGAACCGACAGTCCCGAAGGTTCGGGTCATGTGGGGTTTGATATAGCCAGTCAGGTAAGTTTGTTCGTAAGCGTGAGTTCAAGCATGTTGGACTATGGACAATGAGAGCGGTGGGTTTAGTCGAAAAGCCAAAGGTTGATCAGATAACGACAGTATCAACAATGACAACGTCAATCGTTGATCAACCTTTCGGTTCCTAGCTGTCACACCACCCAAAGGGAGCTCGAAGGCTGCCGGAGATGCCGAGCTTGAGTGTGAACCACAGACCTTCCGGTTGGCAAAGTCACTCGTTGACCACTGAGCTACTTCGAGCCTCCCGAACGCGTCGATGTGAGGATACAAAGATAACCGACTGGACAAACCAACAAGCCTATTCTTTAGCTTATCAATGAATTCACCACTCGAGACAGGAGAAGGGTGCACCTCTTCTAAATATGGCTGAAAAGTGGTCGGTTTCACCAAATATGTAGGTTCAATAAAACATCAAAGCAGCGAAGAGATGCGTCACGAACCTCTGAAGAATGTCAATAACACTAATGAAGCAAGAGGGAATCCAAATTCACTAATTCTCCATCTTACGATGGGGGCGAGATGGCCTAAGTTTTTAGTGCGCGAATTTATGGACCGGAAGACCCGTGGTTCGAACCCGACCTCTGCCTCTCGACTTCCCCTGTCTAGGCTTGGGCAACCTGGCAGTATCCCAGCCCTCGTGCAACCTTCTTGTGGCATGGCAGTTATGCACCGGAAGGGTGCTACAGCTGAACGATTTTCAACAACTATCTTTATCAAACCGTACTGGAACGTTACCTGCTCCTCTGTTCGCATCCTTTTAAATCGATATTTTTACGCTACCGCACATTTGCCATTCGTTTGTTTTCTAGGCTATCTTCAGATGCTTCCGTCTTACGACCCATTGCAGAAACTCTAATCCAGCGATTGGGCGAAAGCTGTTTGTCTCCGAACTGCTGCCAACACTGATAGGAGGAAAGTCGCTCTGTTTTCTTGTGATACTGCATCGAGCTACCTAAAAGCAGTTGAAATTCATTAACTGCTTAATGGGGCTACTTCTAGGCTTTTTATCACTCTTCGGCAACCAGTCCAACTGCTGTGGCCAAGACGAGAAACGGTGTGCCTTCATTCTCAATATACATAAGTAGATAAATCCCGTTGTCCCCATCTCAAACATACCTATTTCCGGTCCCTCTCATAGTATCCCTCCTAGGAAGATGCCATTTTTGGTCCCCGACCTTCTCACAAGATTCAAAAAATAAATACATCGTTTAGCACCCTCTCCGCACTTAGCTGCCATGCCAACGAGGGCTGAGATGACGTCAGGTTGCCCAAACCTAGACGGGAGCAGTCGAGATGCAGAGGTTGAGTTCGAACCACGGGCCTTCCGATTCACAAACTGCTGGTTGAGTTCGAACCACGGACCTTCCGATTCGCAAACTGGCTCCTTAGCCACTGAGCCGTCTCAGAGGATTAACTAGTGTCTACATCCACGTGGTGAACCGGCAGACGTTTCCCGGTCTGTTTGACAAATGACCCCTGAGCACAACAGACAATGCCGCATGCGGTGAGCTGCATGTACAACCAACTGGCAGTCTCATACCCGACCTAAATGCGACAGAATAAGACCGGACCGGAAACAAGAGGGGAAGCGTTCTAAAACTGCCAGTAAGCCCAGCTGGTAACCTAACTACAGGTGAGTGGTTGAGACTCGTAGTATAAATGAAGAATGGCCCAGTGGCCTGGGTCATTCATGGGACGCGCTCCAAGCATACTGTCCTTGTCCTCTCTACGTGGGCTGCAGTCTTTCGACAATGTGAAATGTGTACATTTAGAGGGACATGTGAAAGTCTGATTAGCTCTGAGCGCCAGATAACACTGCATTGAGCACTCTGGAAGTATCACCATGTACAACAAATTGAGCAAGATTGGTTGTTGAGCCTAACAACCGACAGAGTAACTACTACGGCTCGCCACACACACTTGGAATCGTTCAGCTGTAGCACCCTTCCGGTGCCTAACTACCATACTACCCGAAGGAAGCACGAGGACTGGGATACCGCCAGGTCGCCCAAGCCTAGACAGGGGAAGTCGGGAGGCAGAGGTCGGGTTCGAACCACGGACCTTCCGGTCAGTAAATTCGCGCTCTAACCAATTGGGCCATCTCGCCCCCCACACTCACTTAGACCCACAGGCAGTCAAACTCAATCCTCTTGTTACTAATTGTATAGTAAGTGCTCTTCTCCCAGGGTGGACACCCGCTGCTTCTCCAGGAGACATGCTCCTTCGAGTGGAGATGCTTCATACCTTTTAACACAAATAAGTTTGTGGCCTTGAAATCTGTCACTTCGTTCAGCCGCACTAAGCCCAATCAGATGTCGTAGGTCACCGAAATAGGCCTACTTTTTGCATTCTGTTCTCGCGGTCTTCATTCGAGGCCCAACTCTGGGGTGTTTTAGATACAGGTTCAGTCCCACAACTCAGTCGCTAGTCTGTCTCTTGCTAATCGTCCACGTAATCTTGGTGTTTGCAACCTTCCAGTATACAAGTGACAAATCCATCACAACTAACCAAGTTTGCTGTGCAACCGTAAATCTCCACAGATTCTACTACTATTCTACTGGCTTTCAGTAGTCATTTCCGTTTGAAGATTTATGTAAGTCAGCAAACAATTCCAACACTGGTCCTGTCTGTTTTCAAAGCTGCGTGATTTCTGCCTGCAATCATGAAACATCTAATAGCAATCTAATTGGTTAACCAAACAAAGCAAGTTGTTGTGTAATAAACCCTTTTCAGCCTCACGCACTTCCTTGCAATACCCCATCTGGTCACTTTGGTTGTCTTTGATAGCAACGCAAATATCGTTGGCTTATGTGCATAACCGCACAGTGGTATTGGTTAGTGTTGGATTACTGACCTACTGCAGCTGGCCATCATCATCGACAGCATAACATCAGTGCCCAACAATGATACCTTGATGCTGTGGAAAAAAAGAATTAACTCGGATGGTGAAGGGACTTCTTGCTAGCCTATCGTCATTATTCCAAGGTCCCTGAACCGCCAGACATTCATGCAGCAAAATCCGGATTAAAACATACTGCAAGAACCCCACTGACATCGGTCAGTAGGCATAGCTTGCAGTGTCTCCAACCAGGCGCAGTGGGGACCACGCGGTCCTCACCCTGGAAGGCGAGTCGCACTGACAACACCCAAACGTTTTGTAGCCTGTTTCATAACCCTCTGCTAGGTCAATGGTTGGCTACCTTTCTGCTTCCGCCACTCTGAACTGGGCACGGAAAACGGCACTTTCTTCGGTAGACGGTGGTACGGCATACGCAATACGTGGCCTAACCAACGCAGCTTCTGATGCTGGACACAAGCTTCGATGGAAGTCCGCTTTGTTCAGTCGAATACCACCTCTCGAATTGTCTCGTTACGGATTCACCAACCCAAACGAGCTATGGTTCTTAGACAACAATGGTTTGAGATATGAGGAAGTATCGGTTACGCTGTGATCGAACAGACCACCTTTCACAGCTGTACAACATAGTAGTCCGTACTGTAGCTTGGTACACAGGTCCTTTGAGATTCAGGGTCATACATACCGCTTTGATGCCATAGCTGTTCCAAATTAGGAAACGCAACCGGAGCTTTGCAGATTCGGGCATCATCTGTCCCACTATAATCAGAACTAACACAACTTCCAAGATGCATAAAACGCTCCACAACATCGGGTGCATCTTCCCAAATTATACACGGAGTGCTCAGTGACTGAATGTCAATCGATATGGTGTCACACTTTCTGCGTGCAAAGCGCACGACCAAGGACGGGATGAGTTTAGTGAGTTCATCCCGAAAGGCCTACTGCTTCTCTTCGGAAATGAGAACAATGCCATTTTACGTATTCCAGGCCAACAAAGTTTTCATCAGCAGCTGTTTTGTACACCAGTATTTCCAAGACCTTCCAGCGCTCGTCCCGTTTTCTCATCGATCGCGAAACTAACTAGGAATGGATAGAATAGGCACTCGTAGTGTAACGGTGGATACTACTGACGAAGCATGCGAGTAGTATTCGGTTTTCTTATAAATCCGCTTCACCTCTATTGAAAAGTGAGGTTTATTACGGAATTCGTGGCATCGCTTTGTAGCATTCGTTTACGTTTGAGTGATAGCCAATGAGTATCCAGAAAAACCTGTTCGAGCAGAAGACGGATACACACTTTTCATAAAACAAGATGCATATGAGAGTTTTGCTTCCTTGTCCGATAGTCTGTAACTATTCAGTTGGTGTTTTCCAATAAATAACTCCGCAGCGAAGACCTTCTTCCTTTCACTGGTAGTCACCACAGGAGCTTTTTGAGAGCTTGCCCACCTAAAAGTTTGAGAACACAGTGCAGCTCGTCCTAACACCATGGAGTATCCCAAACCAGATTACGACAATGTTTGTGGACCAATCGTGTCTGTAAGAACGTTCAGACGTCAATACTTTCGGTTTCTCACGTTCAGCGTTCAGCTGTAATACCCTTTCAGTTCCTAAATGCCCTGCCATCCGAAGGAAACACGAGGGCTGGGATACTGCCAGCTTGCCCAAGCCTAGACAGGGGAAGTCGAGGGGCAGAGTTCCGGTTCGAACCACGGACCTTCCGGCCAGTTCAACCACTGAGCCATCTCGCCCCTCGGTTTCTCACGCTACTTCTTTGCTCACCGACGCCCCCTCCGAAATCAGTTTGTACCGAGCTGATCTCCTCACCTCATCCTTCGTGTTTGTTCTGTCGTTAACAAGCAATTAACTGTTGCAGCTTGTACCACTGCTTCTACTGGTCTGCTGGTTTCGGATCTTGTACACCAATCCCCCAAATGGGGTCATCCACAGGCGAAAGTATCTTTTGGTTTACCCTCCAACGAGGGGTCACGTGATCACCAGAAGACGCTGTTGTTCCCTCAGGGAAAATCGTTTGTCCTTCGGTTGGACGCCCTCTTGGGACAGTTACTGCTGTCACAGCGCGATGTGTCTGACAGTCCAGAGGTGTCTCTTTTTTCAACTTCATTCTTGCGGAACCGATTTACAACATGTGTATTGTGAATATCTTTCATAATAATGATGTTGGCTATCCGATAACAATAAAACTTCATAAAAGAGTGTTGTGCAACCCATCAATTACTGATTTCATACTACACTCTAATTCGTCTAGCCTGGGAATGATGCTCATTCACGCACTTTTTAACTATCTTTCTAACCAACCAACCTACCTATTTGTTTGTCTTATTACTCGACAGATGACAGAACGCTTTCAGCAATGGGGAACTACCTTGATTCTCACCTTGGTAAGCTTCACATCTCAGTTGGAGGCAATGGAATTTGCGTTTTCATCGGTTTCACTTCGTTTCTGTTGATTATTGCGAGTCGAAATCGGTTGAATCTGACTGCTCGACTGTGATTTGCTTCCAGCGTGGAATCAACACATTACCAACCAACCTACCTATTTGTTTGTCTTATTACTCGACAGATGACAGAACGCTTTCAGCAATGGGGAACTACCTTGATTCTTACCTTGGTAAGCTTCACATCTCAATTGGAGGCAATGGAATTTGCGTTTTCATCGGTTTCACTTCGTTTCTGTTGATTATTGCGAGTGGGAATCGGTTGAATCTGACTGCTCGACTGTGATTTGCTTCCAGCATGGAATCAACACAGACAGTGGTCGACTTACCCTTGAAGCCTCCTTCCCAGGCATGGAAAAGTGAGTGTGTGTGTGTGTATGGTGGTCTGCTTTTTTCGTCTAGCACGAATGTAGTTCATCTATCCGGTCGTGGTGTCTGTGTGAACCGACGTCAACCTACGCTGAAGAACTGAAAAGCACCCTAGAACTGGTTTCCATCATGTGGAATGATCTGCATCGCACATTTGACGAATCCTGCAACTCACTCGAACCCATTAGCCACTTAACAAGAAAATGAATTCCAAGTTTGTAACCGTACTCATCAGATCACGTGGCACAAGCACTCAAACCACGTGACAATCCCCACATGCAACCTTAGCCGACAACGTGTACACTACAATGTCCCATCCATTTTTGTTTACGCCGCTACCACTTGCATCACACGCCAGGCTTACGAACTTCAACAGGTCAAGTTGTTTTCATGTTCGTTCAGACATCGAACACAAAGGGACCCCCCTCTCTTCACAGTGTACACAATAAACAGGCATACAACTAGGCTCAACACACACACTCGCGCACACAGGACAGGTAGTCAACCGAGCTCTGCAAGTCTCCACGGCTACCTACGGAACACGTGTAACAGCTATACTGCAGAGAAGACACGTCTCGCGTCTAGAACTTCACTCAGGAACTCTCAACAAGTGTCCTCAAACGATAGGTAACTTTTTTGGGTTATTCCGCTTTTCGCATTATATCTATTTTTATCGAGTGCACCTAACTATTGTATTCATCACATTCTAGTAAGACAGACGTTTATTGGTGCTTATCGCCTGATAATCAACTTAATTACGTCACAACTAAAGCACTAACGGGTAGTTTGATCCAAAGAACCCATCTGGTGGTGTCACCTTTTGACTGATGAGTTCTAGACTATTTTATAACGTAGCTATAAAAATGTTTCTCCCTCGAAAGATGTCCTGTACCACCGGCGATGGCCTGCTGCGAATAGTGAGCGACTTGTAGTGTCATTCAAAGTGTATCACAGCCGAGCCTTATGTGGTTTACCGCCTCCACATCTGGGTACCACTGTTTTCTCCACGTGGGCACATGAGATTGACGTGGGAGAATGATCCCACGTCAAACGCACTTCGATTGTGCACGGCTGTCTGTTGATCAAACCGCAGTGTCAAGAAAAATTGAAAGACGTTTCGCTTTTGACATAAAAACCTAGTTAGTCGACTGAGTTTTAACGCAGTCAGAGAACTAATCGTTGAGATTTCATACGATTCGCGGTTTTGATCAGTACCGAGTGTCGGTCTGAAGTTCCTGTTTGTTGGTCTTGTTAGTACCCGAGTTGTAACTTCATGTGACAAGCACTAACATGTCTGTTTCACCAGAATGATGATGAATAAAATAGTTAGGTGTACTTTGATAAATATAGATAGTGTGAAAAGTGGAATAAGCTGCATTGGTTGGGACATGTGTTGCTGTCTTCCATGCCCAATTCAGACTGGCGTAAACAGAGAGGTGGCCAATCCTTGACCTGGCAGGGGAGTATGAAGAGATCATGAAGCGCTTGGGTGCTGTCGGTGCTACTCGCCTTCCAGGATGGGGACCGCGTGATCCTCACTGTGCTTGGTTGGAGACACTACGATGTATGGCTGCCAACCGATGTCAGTGGCGTTCTTGTTGTCGGTTTCTATCCAGATTGCCTGAGTGAGTGTCTGGAGATGTAGACACCTCGGAATGATTGTGGTAAGCTAGCACTAAGTCCCTCCCCCCGTCCACCTTTACTCTTTTCTTTACCATAAGGCTTTCAAATAAGTCATGGTTGTACGGCAGTGAAGCATCGGTGTTGAACACTGATGCCGTGCTGTCGATAATGATGAAGAGTAAGCCAGAAAATGAATTATCGTTTGAGGACACTTGTTGAGAGTTCCTGGGTGAAAGTCCGGACACGGGACGTGTCTTCTCTGCAGTATAGCTGCTACATGTGTTCCGTAGTTGACCGTGGAGACTTGCGGAGCTCTGTTGACTTCCTGTCCTGTGTGCGCGAGTGTGTGTGTGTGTTAAGCCTTGTTTTATGCCTATTTATTGTGTGCAGTGTGGAGAGAGGGGTGTCCCTTCGTGTTTGATACTTGCACGAACATGAATACAACTTGACCTAATGTGGTTTAAGTTTCTAAGCCTGGCGCGTTACGCAATTGGTAGCCGCATAAACAAAATAGATGTCGGCTAAGGTTGAAAGTCTGTCCGGAGGCCATCCGTCCCTAATAATTGAACATCACATTATTGGACGGATTCGTCACATGCAGGACACGGACCAAACGAAGGCATGCCCTGGTTGGTCAGAATGCCGGCCAATCCGAGTCGAGCATCTTTGATTCGACGCTTCTCGCCCCCTCACGGAGATTCTGGCACGACCTTGTGAAACACCCTGTGATTACCCTATAAATACAGTTGTAGTAATTTCCTATGGTCTCCATAAAGGGCTATCCAGAGTCACCGTGCCTTTTTGATGCATCATAGTGGGCGGAGCAGGAAGCCAAGGGACCGATACAGAGTTGCACTACCGTTCAGCAAGATACAACAAAGTGGGACGGGAATGGTCACGTGATTTGAGTGTTTGTGTCGCCTAATCTGGAGAGTGACCACGACAGTTAGCGTGGGTTATCAATACTTACGGTAGATTGGTTAGGGGGATAGATAGTTCAATCCGGATATTGGAGCCTTGCTTTCCCGATCTAGAATATTCCTCAATGGAATATTCTCCTTGGGTTTCATTCAAAACTGTTCTTAGTCCGTGTGCGTTAAGCGGTGCCAGAACAATTAGATTGGGGCTGAGGAGTGGGTTAAAGGAATCTCACTATGCTTGGTTTTTGTACTTTCAGACCCAAAATGTTAAAAAAAAACAGTTTTATTGTTGCGTGCCAACTCACACTCACTCCTTCTCAATGCCGTGTCGCGTATCACTGTACTATGTGTACGTATGACAAGTTTTTCCTGACGCTATGACCCAACGCATGTAGTTCTACGACGTGTGTCGTAACCCTACTGGGTCAATGAATTTCAGGCGCCTGTATGGTGCACAACCTACAGCTCAGTCTCAGTGTTCTTCTCGGAAGGGATTCTTTGATCTGATCTGTTAGCCTGTTTTTTTTGGCCCGACTGTAGATTTAGAAATTTCTCTCTGTTTGCATAACTGGCGAACTTCATGGAGTGGGGTCTGTTGAGGAGTATGCCTTCTCAAAGCCATGGAAGACGAGGGAAACGGCTTTATCTCCGCCGAACTTTCGCGCCTTTTCTGATCAAAAGTTTGAATGCTGTTAGTATTTTTCGCCTTCCAGGATCGGACCCACGTGACCCCGTTTGTTTTGCTGGAGATAATGAAAGACATGGCAGCTAATCGAAGTCAGTGGCGTCCATGCTGTTAATTTCTATGCATTTTGTCTGACAGCGTTGCATCTCTGTCGCCAGTATTATAGAAAACATGCATGTACACAGCACGGATGTACTATGGCCAAACAGATCAGTTTCGTATAGGTTAGTGTACAACTCTGATCACATGCTCACGCATCAAACAACACTTCATTGGGTTGACGAACGAACACGGGCGCTCACAAACTCTCGGACGCATCCGATCAGCTGCTACAGGCTGTTTCTGGGTCTTCCTCCTTGTCCATTATGGGGTTTTATTCCAATAGGCTGACATGATTGCACAGCAGTGAAACACCAGTGTTCTTCGCTGGTTATACTGTGAGTGATGCATGTTCAATTAGGACATTTCACCTTCTGCGTCATCTTTAGGCCGCAAGAAACATTAGTGCTCGCCTCTTAAACGATGGATCAATCCGTGGGGACAACTGTCGTTTGTGGAACTCTGAAACAAAAGAATATTCTGGACAGGATACGTTTTTCAACTCCGAATGGTAGCCCCAAGATGGTCAATGTCACAAACGCCATTTGTTAAGAAAACCAGTAACTTTTTTCAGGTAGTTGTCGGGCTTACATACACACCATTCTGGTTTGACTAGTCTTCCTCATGTTTTGGCGTAGTTGTGCTCGTGCGAGAGCACTGGACTCGTGGTTCGCTACCAATGGCTTTGGTTGAGGACCCTAATCGTCCTCCTGTCTAGATGTGGGCGCCCTGGCAGTATCCCAGCCCTCGTACAACCATGACATTCACGATTAACAATACTCTCGCTGTCATTAAAGCTCATCTAAAGCGCACATCCTTGACCGTGCCGGGGTTCGAACCTCGGATATTTGACATGTCAGGAGATCATGTTACCACTACTGCACCAGTACATGCTGAACGCACCTGGATTATTACTTCTGAACCGACAAGCGTGCTCATGCTTGAGCGATGTGGTTGGTTTGCCCAGCGACTCAGTACATACATGTCGATGATTGGCCCACCTGTAAGGTCATATCGGTCAGATAACACCACGGACGCATGAAACCTGCCGAACAATTTATTTTTTTCATTATTTGTAGCTGTCAATCCATCACCTATCACCTCATGATTCCTCTGTGGTTGTGTCATTTAACGCCGATTTAGTTTAGCCTCGCCTTCGATGGTTCCACTCCCTCAGAAGGTTCAAAGGTACTCAGCGGTAGTTAGTTTTTTGGTTTCGTTTTGGCGTGTTTTTACGAAGTTTTGCATGAAATAGGATCAGCTATCAGCGTAGTTTTACCATGACTTTGAACTCAAACTGTTGAGCTTGATCGATATGTGTGCAGGTTTTCTCACTTCTCGATCGAAGTCCTCTGGCGAGCGTTACTTGATTTTGTTTCTATGTGTGTCCAAGGCCGTTTGTTTTGGATTGTATATAAAATTTTTATGAGTTTCACCAGCCGAACCACTTATCCATTATCTTTCGAATGTAGCACCCTTTCGGTGCATAACTGTCATGCCACCCGAAGGTTGCACGAAGGCTGGGATACTGCCAGCTTGCCCAAGCCTTGACAAGGGAAGTTGAGAGGCAGAGGTCGGATTCGAACCACGGACCTTCCGATCAGTGAATTCGCGTTGTAACCACTTGGGTCATCTCGCTCGTTATCCATTATAGTGAGCTGGGGGGGGGGCAAAACTATTCGTTAAAGCTTGCTACGGTTTCTGTGCCAATCGGGATGATTTATGGAAGTCTTGTCGTGTTCAAGGTCAAGGGTTCATTGTAACGACTCAACCATAATTCGAATGTACCAAGCACTTTATCATCAATGATTTTTAATTCATTCTAGAATGATCTGTGTTTCTCAGCGCATCGGGCAATATGTGTGGCCATGGAGATGTTGAAATGTCATCATGCAATTTGTGCTCATTGGTTCGCATTGTATCGAAACAATCATAGCCCAAACAGATCCGTTGATTCTCGAGAAATACAATCATTGCACATTAAATTTGGTTTTCACAAGAGACTCAACTGGATCTCTCGTTTATGATGTTCTATGGTTTCAGGTTCAGTTGAGTCTCTCGTGAAAACCATATTGATTTGCAACTGAGTGTATTTATCGAAAACAGTCCAATTTGGGTTCAAGTAGAACTTAAGGTTGACGGAAACTTGGGGACTGCGCCTACCTGATGAACCCCAAGAAGGGCGAAACTGGTCGTGGGCTGTCGAAGAGTTTTCAGCAACCCTGTCAGTAGTTTCCTTCATGAAAAATGTCCGTTGGTTATTTCAATGTGTTGGGTTAGCTTCGCGAACAGATAATTGGAACGCTAGTCGGCCGTAGTCAGTTGGCTAACTTTGCTCCAAGTTGCTGTATAACTGGTCAATGGTCGTTTCCTTCTCAGTGTTATTGTTATAGACAACAATACACCCGTGGTAAATACATAAACTCGGGATAATTTAGTGTTTAAGGCGCGAATGTGACGATTGAAAGGCCCGTGATTCGAATCGAACTCGGGGCATCTCGACTGCTCCTGTGTAGGCTTGGGCAACCTGATAGTATCTCAGCCCTCGTGCAACCTTCAGGTGGCGTTGCAACTAGGCACCGAAAGGGGGCGTTGTTGTTGTTGTCAGTTTCTACCCAGATTGCCTGAGTGAATGTCTGGAGGTGTAGGCACCTCGGAATGATTGTGGTAAGCTAGCACCAAGTCCTATCCCTGTTCACCTTTACTCTTTTCTTTACAATAAGGCTTTCAAATAAGTCATGGTTGTACGGCAGTGAAGCATCAGTGTTGAACACTGATGTCATACTGTCGATGTAGTGTAGTATGTGTACCGAAAGGGGGTTTTACAGCTGAGCGATACGTAGAAGAGTAAATCTGTCGTAAGTCGCCAAGTAATCCAGCTTGAAAGCTCATCATCCAACGCAGTAGCTATCATCTGTCTTATCGTACCGCTGTCCAACAGGATACTCCACTCTCAATAGGAAATTATTCGGGTCGCCCTGATGTTATTCCTATTCGTTTTTCAGGTTCTTGGTGAACAACACTATCCTCCACCCCGTGATTGTCGAATGGTAAGCTCGATTTCGTTTGCCTCGGTTTCTGACACAAAGTTTATCTGGTTTGGTGCTCGTTTTTACAGCACTTTTACTTTACCTCAGGCCACTGTCAAGTAGCCTGATTTTCTCGTATTTTTCTACCCAACGTTGCTTCTGTTCCCTCTGTACAACGGGAATTCAATTACTTGGTTGCGTCTCAAACTGATCGCTGTTCACCCATGTCCGCTCGTGTCTTTCCTCTTTGTGACTGAGTATCACTCACTGTAAGCTGGAGTTGCTTTTGCCTGGAGTCGAAAGTGGACGGTCAGGATAGATTTCAGGCCGCTATCCATCGACCACCAGTCAAGGTCACTCCATTCAACACGTGTCCAAGTTGTTCTACCCTGCACATGTCCACCCAGGGCCGTTTCACTCTGCATGTTGGCCTGTGTCTCTGTGTTTGCTACAGTGGAGCTCGGGCACACTACAGATTTGGGGGTATGCGATAAGGTGGGAACTGTGACGTTTTGCAGCGTGGCGCTGACCATCCATTCTCTGTAATCTTGCTCTCTGTGTGTATACGTTCATTCCTAACTGTTCACTCGTTTCCTCCTATCTGTCTGACGGCCTTCTCAGATCGTTTCCTTCCTCTATTTTCTCTCTATGTTGTTTTTGTTCCATAAGTTCGTTCAAATGTACTGACTCGTTGGCTGAGTAAGAAATATGTAGTACTCGCTAAGCTGTAACACCCTTTCGGTGCCTAGCTGCCATACCACCCGAAGGGATTACGAGGGATGGGATACTGTCAGGTCGCCTAAGCTTAGACAGGAGCAGTCGAGATACCGAGTTTGGGTTTAAACCACGAAAGTTCCGGTCAGTAAGTTCACGCTTCAATCACTGAGCTATTTCCAGCCTGGGTTTCCAGCCTGGCACAGTGATTGTCATGGCTGCCCCCAACATCCCTCCGGACTGCTACAGTTTGCTTGATCGTTTGTTCGTATTTGTGCAGTGCCTGATCTGACATGTAGGACCAGACCCGGTGATTAGTTTTGGTTTTCACGGGAGACCCAACTGAATCTCTTGTTTATGATGTTCTCACACACAGGCCGCCTCATGTTTTAGTTGGGACGATATACGAGATATCGCAGTATGTTTTCAATAAGTAAACTACGCAGAAGGTTGCTGAAAACTCTTCGACTGCGCACGACCTGTTTCACCTTTCCTGGAGCTCATCAGCTGGGTGCAGTCCCCGAGTTCATGTCAACGTTATGTTGCTTTAAATATTTGCTTATTGTGATCTCTGGAATGTCGAATCAGCGGTCTGGTGGAGCGCATTAAGTTGATTAAGGGCATCCATCATAAACGAGGAATTCTCCCGTCAAAACCTAATTTTATGGGTGGGATTTCGTACAATTTGGGCTCACGTTGTTGGCAACTCGGGGACTGTGCCCACCTAATGAGCTCCAAGAAGAGCGAAACCGGTGTTGGGCTGTCGAAAAGTTTTCAGCAACCTTATGAGTAGTGTATTACGTCTACATAGACACGTGTTTCTTACTGACTCGTGTGCTGTTCGCCACAGCCCTGATGTTTGTGTGAACACTGATCTATCCGCTGCTCAATATCCTAGGTACAGCTGTCCTTACCGATATTCCTCGTAACTTCGAATGTACGTATAGCAGCGAAACTGGGCTTTATATATCATGACTTGATAGTTATCTGAGTAGATCTCGAAATCTCCCATCGGGATTTCATCCTGTCAGTGAATCCAATCTGTGCTGAAAAACCAAGGAGCACTTCGTTCCTAGTGGGAATCGTCAGCAGCGCACTCCAAGGAGTTTCGAACACGTGACCTTCCTCCGGCCAGTAGTTGAATACCTAACCGTTAGGCCACGAGCGGCTGTATAGCACTGTGTTCAGCTGTTTCTTAGACAGGATACATCTCAAGATTTGTTGAACCAGCTACCTTCCATGAGTTTACATCGCCGCGCCCTGGGTATCTCATGTGTCTGGCGGATTGGTGGGACTGCAAACGGGAGCTGACATCTGTCCCTTGTTAACTCACTAGCCAAAGGTGTGTCGCATGACGGATGAAGTTTAATGTATCAGTGCAGTAATTGTTCCAGCTGTTAGACGATACGTAGAAGAGTAAATCTGTCGTAAGTCGCCAAGTAATCCAGCTTGAAAGCTCATCATCCAACGCAGTAGCTATCATCTGTCTTATCGTACCGCTGTCCAACAGGATACTCCACTCTCAATAGGAAATTATTCGGGTCGCCCTGATGTTATTCCTATTCGTTTTTCAGGTTCTTGGTGAACAACACTATCCTCCACCCCGTGATTGTCGAATGGTAAGCTCGATTTCGTTTGCCTCGGTTTCTGACACAAAGTTTATCTGGTTTGGTGCTCGTTTTTACAGCACTTTTACTTTACCTCAGGCCACTGTCAAGTAGCCTGATTTTCTCGTATTTTTCTACCCAACGTTGCTTCTGTTCCCTCTGTACAACGGGAATTCAATTACTTGGTTGCGTCTCAAACTGATCGCTGTTCACCCATGTCCGCTCGTGTCTTTCCTCTTTGTGACTGAGTATCACTCACTGTAAGCTGGAGTTGCTTTTGCCTGGAGTCGAAAGTGGACGGTCAGGATAGATTTCAGGCCGCTATCCATCGACCACCAGTCAAGGTCACTCCATTCAACACGTGTCCAAGTTGTTCTACCCTGCACATGTCCACCCAGGGCCGTTTCACTCTGCATGTTGGCCTGTGTCTCTGTGTTTGCTACAGTGGAGCTCGGGCACACTACAGATTTGGGGGTATGCGATAAGGTGGGAACTGTGACGTTTTGCAGCGTGGCGCTGACCATCCATTCTCTGTAATCTTGCTCTCTGTGTGTATACGTTCATTCCTAACTGTTCACTCGTTTCCTCCTATCTGTCTGACGGCCTTCTCAGATCGTTTCCTTCCTCTATTTTCTCTCTATGTTGTTTTTGTTCCATAAGTTCGTTCAAATGTACTGACTCGTTGGCTGAGTAAGAAATATGTAGTACTCGCTAAGCTGTAACACCCTTTCGGTGCCTAGCTGCCATACCACCCGAAGGGATTACGAGGGATGGGATACTGTCAGGTCGCCTAAGCTTAGACAGGAGCAGTCGAGATACCGAGTTTGGGTTTAAACCACGAAAGTTCCGGTCAGTAAGTTCACGCTTCAATCACTGAGCTATTTCCAGCCTGGGTTTCCAGCCCGGCACAGTGATTGTCATAGCTGCCCCCAACATCCCTCCGGACTGCTACAGTTTGCTTGATCGTTTGTTCGTATTTGTGCAGTGCCTGATCTGACATGTAGGACCAGACCCGGTGATTAGTTTTGGTTTTCACGGGAGACCCAACTGAATCTCTTGTTTATGATGTTCTCACACACAGGCCGCCTCATGTTTTAGTTGGGACGATATACGAGATATCGCAGTATGTTTTCAATAAGTAAACTACGCAGAAGGTTGCTGAAAACTCTTCGACTGCGCACGACCTGTTTCACCTTTCCTGGAGCTCATCAGCTGGGTGCAGTCCCCGAGTTCATGTCAACGTTATGTTGCTTTAAATATTTGCTTATTGTGATCTCTGGAATGTCGAATCAGCGGTCTGGTGGAGCGCATTAAGTTGATTAAGGGCATCCATCATAAACGAGGAATTCTCCCGTCAAAACCTAATTTTATGGGTGGGATTTCGTACAATTTGGGCTCACGTTGTTGGCAACTCGGGGACTGTGCCCACCTAATGAGCTCCAAGAAGAGCGAAACCGGTGTTGGGCTGTCGAAAAGTTTTCAGCAACCTTATGAGTAGTGTATTACGTCTACATAGACACGTGTTTCTTACTGACTCGTGTGCTGTTCGCCACAGCCCTGATGTTTGTGTGAACACTGATCTATCCGCTGCTCAATATCCTAGGTACAGCTGTCCTTACCGATATTCCTCGTAACTTCGAATGTACGTATAGCAGCGAAACTGGGCTTTATATATCATGACTTGATAGTTATCTGAGTAGATCTCGAAATCTCCCATCGGGATTTCATCCTGTCAGTGAATCCAATCTGTGCTGAAAAACCAAGGAGCACTTCGTTCCTAGTGGGAATCGTCAGCAGCGCACTCCAAGGAGTTTCGAACACGTGACCTTCCTCCGGCCAGTAGTTGAATACCTAACCGTTAGGCCACGAGCGGCTGTATAGCACTGTGTTCAGCTGTTTCTTAGACAGGATACATCTCAAGATTTGTTGAACCAGCTACCTTCCATGAGTTTACATCGCCGCGCCCTGGGTATCTCATGTGTCTGGCGGATTGGTGGGACTGCAAACGGGAGCTGACATCTGTCCCTTGTTAACTCACTAGCCAAAGGTGTGTCGCATGACGGATGAAGTTTAATGTATCAGTGCAGTAATTGTTCCAGCTGTTAGAACATTCGTCCGTTCAGCTGGAGTTCGGTGCTTCCAGTCCAATCCGAAGCGATTTCTCTTCGTTCGTACGACATACACTTCAGCAAAAGTGGATGGGAGCTGCCGCATTCTTCAATCTGGACCGTCACAAAGGTGTCAGTATTTCGAAAAAGTTTCGTGACAATCGGTAGACTGGGAAGTTCAATTTATTAGTGCAATAATTGTTGCAGTGGTTAGAACATTCATCCGTTGAGGTCGGTGCTTCCAGTCCAGTCCGAGGCGATTTCTCCTCGTTCATACTATATGCGCTTCAGCAAAAGCGGGTGGGAGCTGCCGCGTTCTACACCGTCACAAAGGTGTCAGGATGTTTGGTTGACTGAGTACGGCTCGTTGTTAGGTAAAGATGTGTGTCTTTGATTTGGTGAGCTCTGTGTCGTCCCAATCTCATTGGTATTTGTGATGGTTGACCATTCACGGTGTAGGTGCCAATCATTTAGACTACCCGGGTTTGATACCACCGAGTTCGTCGCGAATTCGTTTCCTCGCTTGCCTGATAGGAATCTCTCAACTTGTTGTTTCAATGGTGAAGAGCTATGCACTCGCATGCCAAAACACCGTCTACTGAGACGAATGTTGCCCTCCGTGCCTCCTTCAGGATGGCGCAAACCGCGAGGTGGACAGCACATGACTTGGCAGAAAGGCGTGAAAGAGATCACGAAGAGTTTGGCTGTTCCTGGTGTTGTACGCCTCCCAGGATGGCGTACCCGTGACCCCGTCTGTGCTTGGCTGGAGACGTTGCAAGAAATGGCGGTCAATCGATGTCATTGGCGCTCGTGCTGTCAGTTTCTTTCCAGATTGTCTGATTGAGCGGTTGGAAGTGTAGGCACCTCAGAATGCTTGACCATAGGTCAGTACTAGGTCCCCTCCCCCCACCCACTTTTCTCTCTTCTTTCTCAGTATAATTATATATATATATATATATATATAACTAGAC